CAGACTAACATTCCTAATAAATATAGATATAAAAGAACAAACCCTCAACAAATTAATAGCAAACAAATTCAACAGCATATTTAAAAAATCATAAATTGTAATTATACGGGATTTACCCCTCGAGTGCAAGAATGGTTTATCATAAACAAAATCAATAAATGTGCTTTACATCTCCGGTAGGGGTGTGCAAGAGGCAGCTGGTCGATGTTTCTAGCTCTCTATCCCTCTCCCTTCCTCTCTGTAATAAATCAATAAAAATATATTTTAAAATAAATAAATGTGCTTTACCACATTAACAGAACGAAGGAGGAAAATCTTACGATCATCACAATAGATGCAGAAACCCATTTAAAATAATTCAGAATTCTTTCATAAAACCTCACAAAATATTAGATGTAGAGGCCTGGGATGGGAAGCTCAATTGGTTAGTGTCAGCTAATAATCCAAGATTGTAGGTTTGATCTCTAGCAGGGCACATTTAAGAAGGAATAAAAAAATGCATAAATAAATGGAACAATAAATTGAAATTTCATCATCTCACTTTCTCTCCATTCCTCTCTTTTTTTTAAAAAAAAAAATATACTTCATTGATTTTTTGCAGAGAAGAAGAGAGAGGGAGTTAAAAACATCAATGAGAGAGAAACATCCATCAGCTGCCTCTTGCACACCCCCTATTGGAGATGTGCCTGCAACCAAGGTGCATGCTCTTGACCGGAATCGAACCTGGGACCCTTCAGTCCGTAGGCCAACGCTCGGTTTCGGCCCTCTCTCTCTCTTTTTTTAATAAAAATTAAGAAAAATCACCCTGGCGCATGCTGTTTAGTGAATAGAGCCTTGTCCCTTGGAAGAAGGGGTCAAAGGCTCACTTCATGGTCAAGATTACAAGTCTAGTTTGTGGGTTCATGTCCCACCAGTGCAGGAGGTAACCAGGTCACTGTGTCTCTCTCACATCAATGTTTCTCTGTCCCCTCCTCTCTTTCTCCTTTACTGTCTTTTTTTTTCTTTCATTTTTTAAATTAATTTATTTTATTGATTATGGTCTCATATAATTGTCCTTATCCCCCATTCCCATCCCAAACCCCTCCCTACATATGCCCCCAACCTCCTGTTGTCCATGGCCACTGGCCAGGCCCATATGCATGCACAGAAGTCCTTTGGTTGATCTTTTCCCCTTACCCCCACCTTCCCCTACTTTCCCTCTGAGGTTTGAGACTCTGATCGCTGTTTCTCTTTCTCTGGGTCTGTTTTTGTTCATCAGTTTATGTTGTTCATTATTTCCTCTAGGTGTGTGGGATCATGTGATCCAAGAAATACCCTTGTATAATAAGAACCTAAATTGCAACAAGCAATAATGGTTATGTTGAGAGGCAAATGAATCAGTCTGTAGTGAGTTCCTTTCTGGGCCAACAGTTCTTTTGAGTCCCATTTCAATGTCAAATAATTCCTTATGTGTACATGTCAGCCATCCTTCACTGTCTTTACAAATCAATGGGGAAAATATCCTTAAATGAAGATTTAAAAACATTTAAAATGGCCTGACCAGTGTCACTCATGGTTGGGCAACAATCTAGAAACCAGAAGGTCACGGTTGGAATCCCGGTCAGAGCATATGCACAGCTAACAGGCTTAGTCCTCCTTAGGGGGGCATGTAAGAGGCAGTGAACGACGATTCTCTCTCATCATTGATATTTCTCTCTCTCCTCTCTCTCTTGCTCTCTGAAATAAAATACCCACACACATATTAAGGGAGTAAAGCTGCCTGTGTTTGCAGATGATATTATCTATCTATCAATCTATCTATATCTCTATCTATCTATCTATCTATAAAATAAAGCGGTGACATGCAAATTATCTGATATGGTGTCACATTCATAACGGTGGGTGGGCGTGCACAACTAGTCACCAGGAGATATGTCAGCCCGCTCCAACCCCCACCCACAGGTGGTGCCAGAGGTTCCCTCCATGCCCCGGCCTCCCACCGCCTTCAGAATCAGTTCGGGTCCCTCCAGGTTCCCACAGGCGCCCGTAACTCACTCCTGCCTCCCATGGAAGCAGCAGGGCTCCTGGTGGCAGTGCTGTGACTCCAGCCCGCTCCTGCTGGAGTGGTGGGCAGCTCACTGGACAAGATGGGACTCTAGTCTCATATAAAGAACATCCTAAAAACTGCAACAAAACACCTCCCGCAGGAATAAACAAGCCCAATAACTTTGCAGAATTCCAAATCCACATACAACTCAGTGTATCAATACACTAACAATAAAATACCTGGACAAGAAATTTAGAAATCAATCTCATTCATAAATTCATTACAAACAATAACATATTTAGCAACAAATTTAATAAAGAGGGTGAAAGATCTGAACTCTGAAAACCATAAGACAACTGATTGAAAAGACCTGAAGATTCAAATTAATGAAAACACATCCTGTGTTCTTAGATTGAAAAAATTATTAATGTTAAAACATCTCGCCAAAACCGGTTTGGCTCAGTGGTAGAGCGTCGGTCTGCCGACTGAAAAGTCCCAGGTTCGATTCCGGTCAAGGGCATGTACGTTGGTTGCAGGCACATCCCCAGTAGGGGGAGTGCAAGAGGCAGCTGGTCGGTGTTTCTTTCATTGACGTTTCTAGCTCTAGCTCTCTCCCTTCCTCTCTGTAAAAAATCAATAAAAATATATTTAAAAAACCCCCAAAAACATCTGTACTAACAAATGCAACATGATTCCATGTGCTCTCTACCAAAATCCAGTGGAATTTTTACCAGAAATAGAAAACAAATCCTAAAATTCAAACAACAAATGATTTCTAACGGTCCAGGCAATTTTGATAAACAAGATCAGTAGAGTTACAGACATGAAACTTCATGATTAAAACCATATTACAAAACAAATTAGTCAAAGCTAACATAAATAGACACACAGGTGTTAAGAACAGAATACGGACAGCCCAGAAAGAAACCCACATATGTGGTTAAGTACTCTCTGACAAGGACACCAAAAACACAAAATGGGGGGAAAATAGTGTCTTCAATTAACAGTGATGGACCCTGGCCAGGTAGCTCAGTTGGTTAGAGTACTGTCCAGATAAGTAAAGGTTGTGGGTTCAATACCTGGTCAGGGCCCATAAAGAACCAACCAATGAGTGTGTAAATAAGAGGAAGAGCAACTGAATGTTCTCCTCCCTCATCCACTCCCTCTCTCTCACTTGTTCTCTGTCTCTACAAGTGAAAAACAATGTTGAGAAAACTGGATATGCACCTACAATAAATAAACTGGGGCCCTACCTTACACCGCTCACAAAAACTAATAAGAAATGCATTAAAAACTTCAATGTGACATAGGAAAATGTAAAACTCCTTGGCATTGGTTTTGGTAATGGTTTTTGGATGTCACCAACAGCAGACACAACAAAGACAAAGGTGAAGGAGATGAGCTACAGCAAATGAAAAGGCATCTGCAAAGCAAAGAAAGCAGTCATGAGAAATGAAAAGCATGTGTAAAGGCTGTCTCATAAGGGAGAGCTAAAATATACAAGGTGTTCATACAACTGAACAGCAACAAACAATCCAATTAAGAAAAGGCCAGCCCTGGTTGGTGTGGCTCAGTGTTGAGCGTCAGCCCTAGCACAGAGGGGCCATGCGGGGTATATTTGGGACAACCAGTCTAGGTAAGATGTCACATCGATGTTTCTCTCTCTCCCTCACCTCCTCCCACCCATCTACTCTCTCTGAAAAGCAATGGAAAAAATATCCTCAGGTGAGGATTAACAAAACAAAACAAAACAAAACAAAACAAAACAAAACAAAAGTGCGGACGAGCCTTTACAATGGTATTCTCAACCCCCTTTCACAGGGGTCGCCTAAAACATCCTGCGTTCCAGATATTTACATTTTGATTCATAACAGTAGAAAGATGACAGTTATGAAGCAGCAACGAAAATAATTTTATGGTTGGGGGGTCCCCACAACAGGAGGAGCTCTATTAAAGGGTCGTGGCATTAGGAAGGCTGAGAGCCACTGCTTTACAAGAACAAGTGAGTTCTAAGGACGGACTTAAAAGAGCATGGTGACTAGTTAGTGATGTTATGTAATTGAAATGCTTGGAGAGTAGATCTTCAGCATTCACAGCATAAAAATACCAGGCAACTTAATATGGAGAGACACGTTTAATTCACTTTACTGTGGCCTTTACTTTGGTGATAAGACGCTCCCTTCCCCCAGCAGGAGGCAGAGTATAACCTAACCTGCACCTGAGGCCTGGACATTCCTGAGCACCTAACCAGCACCTTTTATGGACCATACACTGAACCACCAATCAGCACCTGCCAAATACCCTAAGCCCTTTTCCCAAGTACCTGAGTGACTATGTACTTTACCTGGACCACACATTAAGCCAACAATGAGCACGTGCAGAGTACACTAAGCCCCATCCCTTCCCCTTCCTCCCCTCAGAGGCATGTTCCCCTTTTGCATGGCCACTGTTCTCCTCGAATAAAGCCCATGTCCTGGTTTTCCACTCTGTCTCATCTTTCACAGCCCACTGTACACTTTATTTTTTTTAAAAAACATATTTTATTGATTTTTTACAGAGAAGAAGGGAGAGGAATAGAGAATGAGAAACATCAATGAGAAAGAAGCATTGATCAACTGCCTCCTGCACACCCCCCACTGGGAATGTGCCCGCAACCAAGGTACATGCCCTTGACCGGAATCAAACCCAGGACCCTTGAGTCTGCAGGCCGACGCTCTATCCACTAACCCACACCGGTTTCGGCCCACTGTACACTTTAATACACACAAGTCTGTATTGCAACCAGGCTGGGAAACAGAAAAGGAAGACAGATCTAAACAGGACACGCTGTGCAGAAGAGCCTTGAAGAGGAGCCCGGCTTCAGATAAGCACGCCCCAGACCACACCTGCGAGTCCCGGCACAGGCAGGCGGGAGGAATGACCCGGACAGGAAGGGACCACACCAGGGAGACGGAGGGGTATGGGTCCGGACACATCAGCCCAGACACTGAGAATCCGTGAAGCTCGATGCGATGTGACTGACGGACCTTGAATCCTTCCCAAAGGGCTCAGCACTGGCAGCGCAGGGGAGAGAAGAGGCAGTGCAGACCCACAGGCCCAGCAGCACAGCAGCCACCCCGCACCGGGGAGGCAGCCCTGCTGAGGTCCAGGCCCGAGGACTGAGAGAGCCGAGAGGGGGAGGGAGGAGAGTCCAGCCCGAGTCCCAGGTGAGGCTGTGAGTCTTACCCAGAGAGGACACAAGGGCAAAGTTCTCCAGCATCACACGCAGGTACAGGCGTCTCTGGGCCTCGTCCACCAGCCTCCATTCTTCCCGCGAGAAACGCACGGCCACGTCCTCCAAGGTCACCGCGGCCTGTGGGAACGGGGACAGAGGACACCGTGACCGGAGCCGCCGCTGGACAGGCCTCTCCGCACCGCTGGCCCCGCGTCCCCATCCCCCCGGGAGCTCCCGCAGCTCAGAGGCCCCGCCCCGGGCCTGAGGGCTCCCCGCCGGGCACAGGGACCCGGAAACGCCTTCGCCCCCTCCCAGCGCCCCCACATTCCGGGGACCCCGAGCGGGAGGGGAGGCGGGAGCTGTGCCCGCTGTCACCTCCTCCCCCGCCCGCGGAGCCCCCGGTCCTCCTCCTCCCGGAGCCTCGGGCGCTGCCCCACGGGCCGCAGTCCGGGGAGCCACGTGACCGCCCGCCTCCCCTTCCCCTCGGGGCGCGGGCCCGCTTCCGCCCCGACCAGCCGCGCCACCGCCAGGACCGGCTTCCAGCCTGAGGGGGGCCACGGGCCCGGCGGCAGGAGGGGACGGGCGCCCGCACCCCGGGCTGCGGGGCGGGGAGGCGCTCACCTCAGCCGGGCGCCTCGGCGCGGCCGCCGCCATCGGACCTGCGAGCGGGACGGCGGGCGAGGAGGGACCCGGTCCTGTCCTGAGGCGGGTCCCTCGGGGGGTCGCCGAGCCTCGCCCTCGCGTGTGGCGGCGGCGGGGATCAGGACTCCGTGTCGCCTCCTGCCTCTCGCCGCCGGAAAACCCACACACGGCGACTCCAAGGCGGCAAAGACTCCGACAAGCAGCAAGTATGGCCGCGAGGAGGACGATGCCGGAAGTCCCGCCCGAACTGACGGAAATGCTTTTACCCCGATCTGCCACTGGCTCAACTCAGCGTGCGTGCTTCTGGGTAATGTAGTTTCTAGCCCTCCAAAGGCACAGCGTTCTCCCTGGAGAGCTGCTAGAACTTTTGCCCCTGAAGGCACCCTGTAAAGGGATGCTGCTCCTTGGAGGGCAGGGCTGGCTCCTGGTTAATAGCAGCAAACACTCCATTCTGACCTCAAGGGCCTGGAGATTGGTTCTGGGCTCAGCACCAGTCTGTGCTCGCCCCTTCCCTCAGATGCCAATTGTAAGTCCACATGGCATCTGTGCTTCAGTACAACAAAATATATATATCAACTTCAGTCAAGGGCACATGCCCGAGTTGGACACCCGGTTGGGAGTATGGGAGAGACAGCCATTCAATGATTATCTATCATTATTGATGTTTCCATCTCCTCTCTGAAGTCAATTAAGAGAATAAATAATATAAAAATGAAAGAATACAAAATGAAAATATTAAATGAAAAGGCACGTGATCCAATTTAAGACCTTAAAAAGAGCAACTTTCTTCAAATGCATTGGCATTGCCCTGGTTGGTGTGGCTCTGTGATGAGTGTGTCAGCCCTTGCTTCAACTTTTTTTGGGTGAGATTTCCTATCAATTGTACATACTTGGGTTGCAGGTTCAATTCCAGGACCATGTTGGGGCACATGGAGAGGCAATGAATGGATGAGTCTCTATCTCACCTGGGTGTCTCTCTGTCTTTCTCTCTCCTCCCTTTACTTCCATTATCTAAAAATCAATGAAAGCCCCAAGCGGTTTGGCTCAATAAATAGAGCATCAGCCTGCGGTCTGAAAGGTCTCAGGTTCTATTCCGGTCAAGGGCAGGTACCTTGTTTGTGGGCACATCCCCAGTAGATATGCAGGAGGCAGCTGATGGATGTTTTTCTCTCATCAATGTTTCTAACTCTCTATCCCTCTCCCTTCCTCTCTGTAAAAAATAAAATATATTTTTTTAAAAAGTGGTAATAAAAATCAATGGAAAAAATATCCTCAGGTGAATATGAAGTAATGGCATACAAAAGTAATGGCATACCCTGTGTGCAAAACAAAATTCATGCTGGTGAAGTTGTCACCCCAGCTGTTTTGAAAGTGATTGCCTGGGTCTTCTAAAACTCATAGTGGCATTCAGGCTTCCCACAAGTACTCTTTTTCTAGAAGGAAGTGAGTAGCAATGCAAATTTTGTGGAAAGTGGTGCGCTAATTTCTCCAAAGTACTGTACCTCGGAGGCAGAGAAAGGTTGAACCCCGGTAAAAAAAACTTTTATGCTTGTAGAGCTCTGATAGGCTTATAATCTATCCCACAAAGAAAGCATCCAAAATGAAAAGGACTGAAACAAAAAGGCTTTTATTTTCAAAACCAAATGGATATGTAACCGACCAGCCTTCTGAGGGTGACTTCAGTGGTGGAAATATTCACCAGAGGTAGCTAGGGAAAAGATGTCCCTGAAAAAAGTTTTTTTCTAGAAGCTAGAGCTGAACTCAAAGAATATTTTCTGGGGCCAACAATGGGTCATGTACATGCCCCAGATAGAGCAAATGAAATGCAGATCACCTGCCAAAACCAGTTTGGCTCAGTGGATAGAGAATCGGCCTGCAAACTGAAGGGTCCCAGGTTCGATTCCAGTCAGGGGCATGTACATTGGCTGCAGGCACATCCCCGGTAGGGGGTGTGCATGAGGCAACTGATTGATGTTTCTCTCTCATGGATGTTTTTAGCTCTCTATCCCTCTCCCTTCCTCTCTGTAAAAAACCAATAAGCTCTAACCGGTTTGGCTCAGTGGATAGAGTGTCAGCCTGCGGACTGAAGGGTCACAGGTTCGATTCTGGTCAAGGGCATGTACTTGGTTGCAGGCATATTCCCAGTTGGGGGTATGCACGAGGCAACTGATCAGTTTCTCTCTCATTGATGTTTCTAACTCTCTATTCCTCTCTCTTTCTCTCTGTAAAAAAATCAATAAAATATATTTTTTAAAAAATCAATAAAAATATATATATTAAAAAAATGCAGAACTCAAAGGGCTCATGTTATTCCTAATTTTCTCCAACTAATAAGAGAATAAAGTCAGATTCCCTGAGGACTTTAAATGGTGACTGATTAAAAAAAAAAAAAAAAAAGATGGTGACTGATGAAAACTGTGGAGACTTGCTTAATGGTGGTTCAGGGGAGATGGATTCTGTCACAGAACTTTTCAGTGACACAAATCTGCACTATAAGCTCTGGGCAGGCAAGTATAAAAGTAGTACAAGCCCTAACCGGTTTGGCTCAGTGGATAGAGCATCAGCCTATGGACTGAAGGGTCACAGGTTCTATTCCGGTCAAGGGCATGTACCTTGGTTGCTGTCACATCCCTAGTAGGGGGTGTGCAGGAGGCAGCTGATTGATGTTTCTCTATCATGGATGTTTCTAACTCTCTATCCCTCTCCCTTCCTCTCTGTGAAAAAAATCAATAAAATATATATATTTTTTAAAAAGTACACATGCTTCCCACATAACATTATGGAAAATCTCCCTACTCTTGAGGATGGGATTTATGAAAGTCAGACAACTGAAGCCTGAGTTTCCTTCAGTGTTGTTAACACTGAACAAAGAAACTACAGTTCCTACACATCTAAAAACTTCCTCTAACGTGTATGCTTATTTGTCCTGAGGCTAGAATTTTTGTTAAATTTATCCACATTCATAGCACTCAAAGAGCCTTTCTTTTTTGTGAACTCTGATGAGTACGAACATGACAATTCCTGATAAAAGATTTCCCACAATCAGTACACTCATAAGGTGTTTTTCCACTGTGAACTCTCTGATGATAATGGAGTCCAGAGCTATGGGTAAAAGATTTCCCGCAATCATTGCACTTGTACGGTTTTTCTCCAGTATGAACTCTCTGATGTTTATAAAGGTCACTGTTCCTGAAAAAAGATTTCCCGCAGTCATTGCACTCATAAGGCCGTTCTCCAGTATGAAGTTTCTCGTGGTTGTGAAGGTCACAGTTCCTGATGAAAGATTTCCCACAATCAGTGCACTTATAAGGTCTTTCTCCATTGTGAACTCTCTGATGATAATGGAGTCCAGAGCTATGGATAAAAGATTTCCCACATTCACCGCACTGGTACAAACTTTCTCCAGTGTGTAATCTCTGATGATAACAAAAGAGAGATTTCCTCTTAAAAGATTTTCCACATTCATTACACGCATAAGGCCTTTCAGCAGAGTGAAGTCTCCGATGACGACGAAGGCAGGCTATTCTGGTAAAACTTTTTCCACATTCACTACAGTCAAAAGGTTTTTCTCCTGTGTGAACCCTTTGGTGTTCAATGAGGCTGGAACACTGGGTGAAGGTTTTCCCACATTCACCACACTCATAAGGCTTTTCTCCAGTGTGAGCCCTTTGGTGGTGAATGAGGCTGGAATTTTGGCTGAAGGATTTCCCACATTCACCACACTTATATGGCTTTTCTCCAGTGTGAACTCTCTGATGTCTACTGAGGCCAGCACTTTGGCTAAAGGACTTTCCACATTCACCACACTCATAAGGCTTTTCTCCAGAATGAACACGACAGTGTTGAATAAGAATCCAATGTTCTTTAAAACATTTTCCACACTCACTGCACTCATATGGCTTTTCCAATGAGTGAACTTTCTGATGATAATTAAGTTCTTTAAAATATTTTTTCTTTTCAGTGCCCACAACACACTGCCTTCCAGTATTGACAGCTTGATTTGGACCAAGTGTGTCATTGCAGCCAATGGCTTTTTTACATTCTTTCTTGCAATGATAACTTTTTTTGTTTTGAGATGTCACCCCAGACCCTGATTTATCTCTGGTATGAGAAGCCTGGTGCTGAAGTTGTCCTGAGACAGTAAGGACGCTGTCTCTGACCTTCTGATCGGTAAAAAGCTTCTGGGACACACTGAATGTGCAGCTCTTCGCAAGTGAGGCCCTGTCCACACCTTGTATCAAACACTTTGCTCCCATGTGCTGCCCATGGTGCTGGTGAAACTGTGGACTAAAATAAAATGACTTTGCACATGCCCCACACCTCAGCAGTTTCCTACTAGATTGTGTTCCCTGCTGCTCAATCACCTGGAAAATGTCCCTCAAGACTGCAGCACAGCCCTCACAGGGGTGGCTCTTCTGGGAAGATGAAGCTACTTTGGTCATCTTTGCCTGGGACACTCTTATAGAAACGTTCGGTTCAATGGACGCCTCCAGATCCCGACTTCCACAGCAGCAACCTAGGACAAAAGTAAACCCTGGTGAATTACATGTTGGTCATACAGCAAAAGATAACCTTGCCGGGCTGCAGTGGTTCGACCTATGGACCAGGTCAGGGTTTAACTCCCAGTCAAGGCACATGCCTGGATTGCATGCTTAACCCCCTATAAGGTGCTTGTAGGAAGCAGCCAAACAATGATTCTCTCTCATCCTTGATGTTTTTCTCTCTCCCTCTTTGTTACACTCTGAAATAAATGAAAACATATTTTAAAAAGTAAAAAAATAATGGAAATCTCATCATAAATGTTCATCTATCACACCAAGGCATGGTTCTATGGAATGATGTTCAAGAAACTTGTCTTAGAATCTGAGAAAATGGCTTTTATACATTAAATGGTCCCTAACTAGGGAGAGGGGAGGAATCCACAAGGAGAGTAACATGGTCTAGAATGATATAAATGAGGAAGGATCTACTACCTGTTCCTCTGTAAATGGCTTCCTACAGGACGTTTTGCGATAGTTCCATGAGACTTTGTACAAGAATGTGAATGTGGCCGAGACTGGTTTGGCTCAGTGGAGAGAGCGTTGGGCTGTTGACTGAAGAGTTCCGGGTTCAATTCCGGTCAAGGGCATGTACGTTGGTTGCGGGCACATCCCCAGTAGGGGGTGTGCAGGAGGCAGCTGATGGATGACTCTCCCTCATCGATGTTTCTAACTCTCTATCTCTCTCCCTTCCTCTCTGTAAAAAATCAATAAAATATATTAAAAAAAAAAAAAAAAAAAGAATGTAAATGTGGCCCAGCCAGCATACCTCAGTTGTTTGTTGTATGTTGAGCTATAAACCAGGAAGTAATGGGTTGATTCCTGGTTCGGGGACATGCTGGGGTTGTGTTAGCAATCCTCAATGTGGGGCCTATAGGAGGCAGCCAATCAATGATTCTCTCTCATCACTGATGCTTCTATCTATCTCTTTCTCTTTTTCTATCTGAAATCAATAAAGAAAAAAAAAATATATATATATTTTTAATATATTTTATTGATTTTTTACAGAGAGGAAGAGAGAGGGACAGAGAGCTAGAAACAATGATGAGAGAATCATCAGCTGCCTCTTGCACACCCCCTACTGGGGATGTGCCCACAACCAACGTACATGCCCTTGACCGGAATCAAACCTGGAACTCTTCAGTCCACAGCCCAACGCTCTCTCCACTGAGCCAAACCGGTTTCAGCAATAAAAAATATTTTTAATAAAAGAATGGCACAAACCAATAAAAATTAACTGAAAAAGAGCAGATGATGTTCTGGTCAATACAAGGTATTGGTATATCCAATGTGGATCAGGCAAGGACCAAGACTGGGCAGCAGTAAAGAGAGTAGGAGGATAGGCTGACTAAGTGAGCAAACCTACATGGAAATGGCAGGGGTCAAAACGAAAGGGTTGAAAATGCCCCCGTTGTTTGCAGAGCATGCAATAGCGTGACCCTAGTGACCTGCTCTGTGATGGACCTTGGGAAACTTTGCTCTTAGAATCCACAGCAGCCCCTGCAACACTGCACTTTACACCTCAGAGAACCCTATAAAGTATGGTGGCAGAAATTCCGATAAAAATCCCCTTGTCCTCAACTCACCCCATGAATATAACAAAAATCAAGATGTCAGTAAGAAATATGCACCCGCCGAGACCGGTTTGGCTCAATGGATAGAGTGTCGGCTTGGGGACTGAAAGGTCCCGGGTTTGATTCCGGTCAAGGGCATGTACCTTGGTTGCAGGCATATCCCCAGTAGGGGGTGTGCAGGAGGCAGCTGATGGATGACTCTTCCTCATCGATGTTTCTAACTATCTCTCTCCCTTCCTCTCTGTACAAAATCAATAAAATATATTTAAAATAAATAGAAAGAAATATGCACCCAAGGACAGAAAAACTAAGTACACAAAGCAAATAATATATATGAAATCAGAAGAAATATATGTTAGTAAAGAACGTCAATATTTCTTTTTCACATTGTTTAGATCAGTGGTCCCCAACCTTTCGAACCTCAAGAACCACCAGTTATAACTTCTGCTCTAGATAATCCCATCTGATATGAATACAGAAATACTGAAGTTTAACTACAGTTCAGAGCAACTCTAATCCTGAATATAAATAGAAAATTGAGAAAAGGCATTCTTTAAAAAAATTTAAAAAATTATATATATATATATATATATATTTGATTTCAGAGAGGAAGGAAGAGGGAGAGAGAGATAGAAACATCAATAATGAGAGAAAGAAAATCATTGATAAGCTGCTTCCTGCATTGTCCCTACTGAAGATCAAGCCTGCAACCCCAGAATCAAACCTTGGAACCTTCAGACTGCAGGCCCAAGGTCTATCCACACTGAGCCTAACCGGCTAGGGGGAAAAGAGGCAGTCTTGTCAAGCCACACATGAAATGATCTCTAGGTACATCCAGTTGTTACTGAAAGGGGACCAGGGCGCAGCAGATCTGCCTCAGGCCAGACTATACTGGTGGGGTTTTTAATTTGAGTGGGCGAGATATGTCAACAGGAGTCCCGGTGATTTTGAGAAATCATTTATTAAAGCTAGGGACATAGAAACAAAGAAAGAACTGCGATAGAAGAAGCAACAAAAGGGCTTTGGCCGGGACTGGTTTGGCTCAATGGATAGAGCGTCGGCTTGGGGACTGAAGGGTCCCGGGTTCGATTCCGGTCAAGGGCATGTACCTTGGTTGCGGGCATATCCCCAGTAGGGGGTGTGCAAGAGGCAGCCGATCGATGATTCTTTCTCATCGCTGTTTCTAACTTTCTATCTCTCTCCCTTCCTCTCTGTATAAAATCAATAAAATATATTTAAAAAAAAAAAAAAAAGGGCTTTGGCCCCTTGGAAAGGTTATGGGAAAGCAGTGTGCGAAGTGGGGCCTGCAGATAGCTCACTGGGATGTCAGAGACAAGGGGGAAATGGAGACAGGAGCTCAGCCAGTGTGGCTCAGTAGTTGACAGTCAACCTACAAACCGGGAGGCTGTGGTTTGATTCCATGTCACAGCAAATATCTGGGTTGCCAGATCGATCCCTACTGTGGGGCATGCAGGAGGCAGCTGATTAATGATTCTCTCACTTCATTGATGTTTTTATCTCTCTCCCCCCATCTCTCTTCCACTTTGAAATCAATAAAAAGTATATTTTAAAAAATTAAGAAAAATTAGCCGGCACCGGTTTGGCTCAGTGGATAGAGCGTGGGCTTGCGGACTGAAAGGTCCGGGGTTCGATTCCAGTCAAGGGCATGTACCTTGGTTGCGGGCACATCCCCAGTAGGGGGTGTGCAAGAGGCAGCTGGTCGATGACTCTCTCTCATCGATGTTTTTAACTCTCTATCCCTCTCTCTTTCTCTCTGTGAAAAATCAATAAAATATATTTTAAAAAAATTAAGAAAAATTAGAACTGACATATATATAAAATAGAAACAAGGCAAAAAAAATTAATATCATTACTAAGAACTGATGTTTTTTGTTTTTTTGTTTCTTTGTTTGTTAATCCTTTCCTGAGGATATTTTTTCCATTGCTTCAGAGAGAGTGCAAGGGAGGGAGGAGAAAGAAAATAGAAACACAGATGTGAGACACCTTGACTGGCAGACTCCTACAGGGGATGGGAAGTGAGCCCACAACCAGGTACATGCCCTTGAATAAGAATTGAAGCCATGACCTTTGGATCCCTCGGCCAATGTACTAACCATTGAGAAACACCAGGTAGAGAGATAGAAACTTCAATAATGATGAAAAAAATGCCCGGTTGTAGGCTTGATCTCCAGTGGGGGACGTGCAGGAGGCAGCGGATCCATGATTCTCGCTCCTCATTAATGTTTCTCTCTCTCTCTCCCTCTTCCTTCCTCTCTGAAATCAATAAAAATATATTTTAAAAATTTTGTTGTTAGTGTATAAAAATGGGAAGTGAGCCGAAACCGGTTTGGCTCAATGGATAGAGCGTCGGCTTGGGGACTGAAAGGTCCCGGGTTTGATTCCGGTCAAGGGCATGTACCTTGGTTGCGGGCATATCTCCAGTAGGGGGTGTGCAAGAGGCAGCTGATCAATGACTCTCTCTCATTGATATTTCTAACTCTCTATCTCTCTTCCTTCCTCTCTGTACAAAATCAATAAAATATATTTTTTAAAAAAATGTGAAGTGATGTTTGTATGCTTATTTTTGTGTCCCGTATCTGTTCTGAATTTGTTTATTAACTTTAGAAGTTCATAGTGGTTCAATTCCAGTCAAGGGTATGTACATTGGTTGCAGGCATATCCTGAGTAAGGGGTGTACAGGAAGCAGCGGGTCGACATTTCTCTCTCATTGATGTTTCTAGCTCTCTATCTCTCTTCCTTCCTTTCTGTAAAAAAATCAATTTAAAAAAATGTATAATTATATATATAGATATAGATATAGATATCACACAAAATAAAACAAACAGAACAGGAGTGAGCTAAAGGGTATTTGCTGCTGCCCACAGCTGCCTCGGGGGAAGTCTCTCCTCAGGACCCTCAGAGCTTCAAACAGAAGAAACAAAGTACAATCCTGAGGGAAGGGATGCAGGCGAGATCAAAGAACGCACCAGGAGAGGGATGGTCTTACCCTGTGAGGACACGAGAGCATAGTTCTCCAGCATCACATCGAGGTAGAGGCGTCTCTGAGCCTCGTCCAGGAGGCCCCATTCTGCCCTGGAGAAGTACACGGCCACATCCTCAAAGGACACACCAACCTGTAGGAATGAATACAACCGAGTCAGGAACAATCTGTCGGAGACACCCACAATCGCGCTCTTCCCCACAACCCACCACCTCCAAGGCCGCCCAGGTCTGAGAAGACACCCAGTCTTAGTGCCAGTGCTGTCTGCTCTGTCATCACAGTCCCATTAATCACACTGATCACCCTCCCAGCAACAAGAGGGGGAAGGAAAAGGGAAAGGAAGCAAGTAAATGCCATCTGAGCTCTGAGCCATGCCAGAACAGCTCCATCATTAATCCCTCACAAAACCACAGAGATGTTCCAGATCATTCCTGTGGGACACGGCAACACATGTGCTATGGCCCTGACCAGTGTGGCTCAGTGGATAGAGTGTCAGCCTGGAGACAGAAGGGTCCAGGTTCGATTCTGGCCAAGGGCATATACCTTGGTTCCAGGCACATCCCCAGTGGGGGGTGTGCAGCAGCAGCTGATCGATGTTTCTCTCTCATCGATTTTTAAAAATATATATTTTTTAAATTTTTTTACAGAAAGGAAGAGAGAGGGATAGAAAGTTAGAAACATCAGGCGAGACAGGTTTGGCTCAATGGATAGAGCGTCGGCTTGGGAACTGAAGGGTCGTGGATTCGATTCCGGTCAAGGGCATGTACCTTAGTTGCGGGCATATCCCCAGTAGGGGGTGTGCAAGAGGCTGTTGATCGATGACTCTCTCTCATCGATGTTTCTAACTATCTCTCTCCCTTCCTCTCTGTAAAAAATCAATAAAATATATTAAAAAAAAAAAAAAAAGAAAGTTAGAAACATCAATGAGAATCATCTATCAGCTGCCTCCTGCACCCTCTCCCCCACCCCCTGGGATGTGCCCGAAACCAAGGCACATGCCCTTGACCGGAATCGAACCCGGGAGTTTTCAGTTCACAGGCCGACGCTCTATCCACTGAACCAAACCAGTTTCGACTCTCATCGTTTTTTTTTTCCTCTTGTTTTTAAATGTATATGTTTCAAGGAAAAAATGGTATTGAAGCCAAAACGAAGAGGAGAGCTAAGCAATTTTCTAGATGGGTTTAATTCCATGAGCCTTATATAGCCAAAAGCAGGGTTCCATGCACTAATTTCTCCTTGACAGGCTAATGGATGTTAATGACTTCCGGAGAGTATATAAGGAGGCTTCGTTGAACAGACTGAGATCAGCTTATGTCCTTATAAACCAAACGATGCAGACATGGATCAATCACATAGCAGCCATTCCCACAAAGGCATCCACACTGATCCTAAGACCTACTGACACCTACAATAGCCTTAGCCGGTTTGGCTCAGTAGGTAGAGCATTGATTGTCAGACTGAAGGGTCTCAGATTCATCCTCGATGTTTCTAACTCTCTATCCTCTCCCTTCCTCTCTGTAAAAAACATCAATAAAATATTATTTATTTATTTTTAAATTTCTTTATTGGTTATGGTATCACATAATTGTCCTCATCCCCAATAAAATATATATTTTTTAAAATTAAACAGCCAAAACCGGTTTGGCTCAGTGGATAGAGCATCCGTCTGCGGACTGGGGGGGGGGGTCCCAGTTCGATTCCGGTCAAGGGCATGTGCCCTGGTTGTGGGCACGCCCCCAGTAGGAGGTGTGCAGGAGGCGGCTGATCCATGTGTCTCTCTCATCCATGTTTCTGGCTCTCTATCCCTCTCTCTTCCTCTCTGTACAAAATCTGTAAAATATATATATTTTTAAAAAGAGCTACCACGCCGAAGCCGGTTTGGCTCAGTGGATAGAGCATCGGTCTGCGGACTGAAGGGTCCCGGGTTCGATTCCCGTCAAGGGCATGTATTAATACATTGGTTGCGGGCACATCCCCGGTGGGGGGTGTGCAAGAGGCAGCTGATCGATGTTTCTCTCTCATCGACGTTTCTAGCTCTCTATCTCTCTCCCTTCCTCTCTGTAAAAAATCAATAAAATATATTTTTTTTTAAAAAGAGCTACCACATGTGCAAGCCTCCATCCGGGCTACCAGGTGTAGCTCCACGTGACCACCTGCTCAGGGGATGGTTCCCCTCACTGTCCCCCGGAGGCCCCTCGGCCCCTCACTGCCTCCCACCCCCTCACACCGGCTGTCACCCCGCAGCCCCCCGCGGTCCAGACGCGCGGGGCCTGGGCTGCAGGAGGGGAAGGGCGCCCCATGCCCGCCCCCTGGCGGCCGGGTTGGGTGAGGGAGGCGGGGAGGCCCCGAAACGCGCTCACCTCAGCCGGGCTCCTCGTCGCGGCCTCCGCCATCGGGCTCTGCCGGCGGAGCGGGACGGGAGGCGGAGGATACACTCCCGCCCTGAAGCGGGTCCCTCGCGGGGTCTCGGAGCCTCAGGCCTCCGTCAGTGCGGCGGGGACCGCGCCTCTTCGGGGCCTTCTCCGTTTTGTCACTTCAAAGGCGGAACAGAATGCGCCCCGAGGAAGCCGGAAGTCCTGGTGGAAATATCCCGGAAATGCTTCCCAAGCGGGACGTAGCGCAGGGCCTTCTGGGTAATGTAGTTTAAAGTGCTCCAGAGGCCACAGGTTGGCCATTGTGAGCAAACAGGACTTTAGCTCCTGGAAGAACCATGTAAAAGGATGCTGCTCCTTGGAGGGCTGTTGATTAATTGCAGCAAACGCTCCATTCTGACCCCAACGACCTGGAGATTGGTTCTGGGCTCAGCTGCCTACTGCACACTCACTACTGGGGATGTGCCCGCAACCAAGGTAAATGCCCTTGACCGTAATAGAACTGGGACCCTTGAGTCTGGAGGCCGATGCTCTATCCAATGAGCAAAACCGGTTAGGGCAGAACTGGGGATCTCTTGATGCATGGGTCAGGGCACAACAGGCTATTGCTTAAATGTGTGTGTGTGTGTGTGTGTGTGTGTGTGTGTTTATTCATTTCTAACAGAGCAAGAGAGAGGGAGAGAGAAACATCAAGGATGAGAGAAAATCATTGATCAGTTGGTTCCTGCACACCCACTAATGGGGATAGAGCCCAGAAACCTGGTATGTGCCCTGACCTGGGTTTGAACCCTGATCTTATTCAATCACTGTGCTCCACCAGCTGGGCACAAGAGGCTATTTTAAACAGGAAACCACGGGCCCCAAATGGCATCATTCATGCTGAAAGCCCCATGACCACAAATATATATCTATCAACAAGTGAATATAAAAATCAAGTGAATAGAAAATCTGATGAACAGAATAAACTGAATATAATAGAATCAGGGGCGTAGAAAGGGGGTGGACTGGCAATTTTCAGGGGGCAAAGGTGTGGGGGTTCAGGAAAAACTGAACAAAAATTATATACCTATGGATGAGGACAGTATGGGGGAGGTAAGGGCAGAGGGTGGGTTGGGAACCGGGTGGAGGGGAACTATGAAGGAAAAAAGAGGAACAATTATAATCTTTATGCTTATAGAGCCCAAATATGCTTACAAACTACACCACACACACTCAAAAAAAAACAAACCACCCAAAATCAGAGAGGATTTAAAACAAAACGGCTTTTATTATGTTAAAAACCCAAGGACATCAACCCAACCAATCTTCTGATAGTGGCATTGACAGTGATAAAATAGTCACTAGAGGTATCTAGAAAATCATAAAAATAGATATTTCTTTCCCCAGGAACTAAACTCAGATGATGTTCTCTGGGTCAACAATGCATAAGGTCCCAAACAGAGCAAATGAAATGCAATTCTCCTAAGGGCTTACGTTACTCCTAATTTCCTTTAACTCATAAGAGAACAAAATCAGCTTCCCTGAGGACGGTGACTGATGAAAACACTGGGGACCTGACAACACCAGTTTGGCTCAGTGGATAGAGCTTCAGCCTGCAGACTGAAGAGTCCTGGCTTCGATTCCAGTCAAGGGCATGTACCTTGGTTTCGGGTACATCCCCAGTGGGGGGTGTGCAGGAGGCAGCTGATCAATGTTTCTAACTTTCTATTCCTCTCCCTTTCTCTCTGCAAAAAAATCAATAAAATATATATATTTTTTAAAATAAAGAAAGAAAACTGTGGGGATCTGCTCAGTGTTGGTTCAGGTGAAATAGATTCTGTCACAGAAATTTGCAGTGACACAAATCTGCAGTAAGCCCTGGACAGGTTAGGAAATATAAATAGAAGTACACATGCTTTCCACATAACTATCATTATGGGAAATCTCCCTACTGTGGGTGGAGGATGGGATTTTTGAAAGTCAGATAACTGAAGCCTGACTTTCCCCCAGTGTGAACTACATTCCCTACACATCTAAGAACTTACTCTAATGTATACTCTCATGTGTCCAGAAGTTAGGATTTTGGTTACAATCGGAACATTAAAGATTATTATTATTATTTTCTTTTTTTTGCCGAAATCGGTTTAGCTCAGTGTATGGAGCGTCGGCCTGCGGACTGAAAGGTCCCGGATTCGATTCCGGTCAAGGGCATGGTTGCGGGCACATCCCCAGTAGGGGGCGTGTAAGAGGCAGCTGATCGATGATTCTCTCTCATCGATGTTTCTCTCTATCCCTCTCTTCCTCTCTGTAAAAAATCAATCAAAAAGGTGGCCCCACAAGTACTGATGGGATGGTCATAATAATCTGGCCACTCAGCGAATGCAAACATCAAGAGGTTGCCTCTCCCACATGCCTATCAACCCCAACAGGGGTTGGAAGAAGGCTGTGACCTGGGCAGGTGTCCGATCGGGAGGCGAGGAGGCCCCGGAGGCCGCGATCACCTCATGGGGCGCCTCCGCGGGCGGAACGTGGACCCGGTCCCGCCCGGAAGCGAAGCGGGTCGCTCTCAGAGTCGCTGGGCCTCACCCCCATCTGTGACGGAACCGGAACCGGCAGAACCAGAGGGACAGGCGGACACGCGGGCCTTCCCCACCGGGAGCCTGAACCCAGCGCCTTCTCACTCGGCTCCGACTCAGGGATCCCAGGTAAGGAGAAATGGCTCCCAGCCGGACACCGGAAGTCCCACCGTCGTCTACCGGAAACGCCTCTTCTGGGCCCTCGTGGGCTCAAGGCTCTGTGTTTCACGCAGTGCCTTCTGGGTTGTAAGGGAACCTGTGATCCAGCCTGTGATCCAGTCAATGAAGAAGACCAAGACTTTCCCAGCAGCCTCCCCGGGGGAAAGGCTGGGAACCACCGCTAGGGACGCTGGGACAGGACAACCACTGAGCAGGGGCCTCCTGGGAAATGGCCACAGAAGGCGGTCAGCAAGCCCTGGGGGGGGGGGGGGCGCTTGCCAGAGGGATTAGCATACCTTCCAGCTGTGCCTAATGCAGCTTGGATCCCAGGTCAGGGCAGGTGAACGAATCAGCCAATGAAGGCGTAAAAGAGTAGGTCAATAAGTCAGAGCTCTGCTTCTTTTTTTAAAAATAAAAAATATATTTAATATATATTCTTTTATTGATTTCAGAAAGGGAAAGGGAGAGATGGAAACATCGATGAGAATCACCAATTGGCTGCATCCTGCACGGCCCCCACTGGGGATCAAGTCCGCAACCCAGGCATGTGCCCTTGGCTGGAATCGAACCTGGGATCCTTCAGTCTGCAGTCCAACGATCTATCCACTGAACCAAACCAGCCAGGTGTGGCTCACTTGGTCAGGCATTGTCCTGTGCATGGAAAGATCTCTGGTTCAATAACAGGTCAGGCCGAAACCAGTCTGGCTCAGTGGATAGAGTGTGGCCTGCGGACTGAAAGGTCCCAGGTTTGATTCCAGTCAAGGGCATGTATCTTGGTTGCGGGCACATGCCCAGTAGGGGGTGTGCAAGAGGCAGCTGATCAATGATTCGCTCTCATCGATGTTTCTAACTCTCTATCCCTCTCTTTTCCTCTCTGTAAAAAATCAATAAAATATATTTTAAAAAAAATAACAGGTCAGGGTATGTGCCCAGATTGCAGGCTCAATAACCTGTTGGGGTGCATGTAGGAGGCAGATGAATAATGTTGATTTTTTTCAGAGAAGAATAGTTAGAAACATAGATCGATTGCCTCCTGCATACTCCCTACTGGGGATGTGCCTGCAACCAAAGTACATACCCTTGACTGGAATCAAACCTGGGACCCTTGAGTCTGTAGGCTGATGCTTTATCCACTGAGTTAAACCGATTAGGGCAATAAAAATATTTTTTAAAAATATGAGGTCCAGCCGGGACCGGTTTGGCTCAGTGGATAGAGCGTCGGCCTGCGGACTAAAAGGTCCCGGGTTCGATTCCGGTCAAGGGCATGTATGTTGGTTGCGGGCTCATCCCCAGTAGGGGGTGTGCAAGAGGCAACTGGTCGGTGTTTCTCTCTCATCGACGTTTCTGACTCTCTGTCCCTCTCAATTCCTCTCTGTGTAAAATCAATAAAAATATATTAAAAAAAAAATATATGAGGTCCTGCCGAAACCGGTTTGGCTCAATGGATAGAGCGTTGGCTTGGGGACTGAGAGGTCCCGGGTTCGATTCCAGTCTAGGGCATGTACCTTTGTTTCGGGCATAACCCCAGTAGGGGGTGTGCAAGAGGCAGCTGATCGATGACTCTCTCTCATCGATGTTTCTAACTCTGTATCTCTCTCCCTTCCTCTCCGTACAAAATCAATAAAATATATAAATTTTTAAAAATGAGATCCTGAGGCAAAAATACAGTCACAGGATAGGTCCTGACTATAATTGAATGGTGTTTCCTTTGTTTTTTAAAAATATATTTTACTGATTTTTTTACAGAGAGGAATGGAAAGGGATTGAGCATTAGAAACACTGATGAGAGAGAAACATCCATCAGCTGCCTCCTCCTGTACGCCCCCTATGGTGGATATGTGCTTGCAACCAAGGTACATGCCCTTGACTGAAATTGAACTCGGGACTATTGAGTCCAAAGGCCAACGCCTATCCACTGAGCCAAACCAGTTAGGGCGAATGTTTTCAGTTGTAAATGCATGTCAAAACCTATCAAATACTACACGTTAAATATGTGCAGTTTATTACATAGTAATTATACTTTTTAAAAGCTATAAAAAATGACTCAAGATTGAAAAAAAAAATTCTATGGCCCTGGCCGGTGTGGCTCACTTGGTCAGGCATTGTCCTGTGCATGGAGAGATTTCTGGTTCAATAACAGGTCAGGATATGTGCCCAGATTGCAGGCTCAATACCCTGTTGAGGTGATTGTAGGAGGCAGATGTTTCTCTCCTCTCTCCCTCACCTTGCTTCTGTCTCTAAAATCAGAAACAACTTTTTGTTATTGTACTTAGACATTTAACAACAACAACAAAATCTGGCCTTAGG